CAGAGATGAATAGTAAGACAAAATAATACTATTAATAATAATGGAAAGTCTATTCAAGATGAACAAGTGAAATCACGAAACAAAAGGTATGTAATATAATTACAACTCATAATATAGAGGATGATAAGTACTCAATACATCTGCGCTATTCCTACTGATTTGAAGTCATGTCTTCTTCAGATAACCAACAAAGGATTACGATATTGCCTAGAATATGTTGAGATGTAGATGTGATTGAAGTTAGTTGGCAGGAAATGATGGATCTAGGTATTGTGTTAGTTGACATTCATTAATAAAGAGCACCTGTAAACTTGAGGGGACGAATCCACAACGGTCACCTTTATAGCTTAACATGTTACCACTAAAAAGATGGGTGGCGTGAATCTCAATAGATCAGTTAACATTTCAAAATTGTAAACTATATGTTTGACTTTGTTTTACTGTATATGGAAATCCTATGAGCTGTGTATCGATACAAAAAAGAAAAACTTTTGCTGACCAAGAAACACATAATAAGTAGTCTATCAAGATGAACAAACTTTTCTTTCAACACTAACTAAATAGATACAAAAAAGGAAATAGATAAAAATGAACTTACTTGCATACTCCAATTGTACAATTCAGGTAATTGACATTTTTCCGGATAATCTAATAGATAATCTAATAAACTGCCAAGTTCAGCTAATTCTAATATCATCATTAAGCGTTTATTCTCACATACACCATAAATCGTTACAATATGTGGATGAGATAATTGCATCATGATTGTAGCCTCTTTCAAAAAATCCAATCTTTGTGATGGTTGGACAAGAACCTTCGAATAATAATGACAATAATAATTATAGATTACGAAACCAAAACTCTTGTATGGAATAGATGGAATGTAGCTAGCAGTGGAATCAAGGACACGCGTTTCGTCTTATTTTAAACGCGTCAGCTGTGTAGACTTGTTTAACAACACTACTTGACCAAACGGTTAGAGAGGACTTAGTGTTGTTGTTCATAACTTCTACCTCACATGTAGTCAGACTAACCTATCGTATCATTCCAAAACAATACAGCTAGATTGGTTTAAAAAATTATTTCCCAAGATTCTATCCTATCTAACAGGTAAATCGAAAAACTAAGATGGAAAGTAGTAAATTCAATTGTGTGTGAATTTCTCGGAAAAATATCCGAAGCCTTCGTGGTCACATTCCAAAGACTCGAACCTTCAATATACACTCTAGGTTTAAAAAAGTATTTTACAGTACAGGCATTCAGGAAGTATTAAATGATCGTCACGTTTGACAACTTAGCAGTTATAATACACAACATTTCATTACTGAATTGCAGGTTACAACCTACTTCGATGTTTGAGTTATTTATTTATTATTTTAGTTGAACACATAAATATTGGTACATGGAGGCACCAGATACATATGCGCCACACAATAACAATGAGAACGGTAAGAGATAAAGAATGTAAGGTTCGTGCAAAAAGAAAAAGAGAGCAATAACGACCACAAATTAGTGTATGGTAGGGAACTAATAATGGAGGAAACTGAAAAATACAACCAGAAAGAATTCTTTCAGTCAAAGTTATGGTCACTTTTTCTGAAGAAAGTAAAACAAGGTTACAGCAGGATCGCCACTGGCTTCTATTCTGAGCCATATCTGATAACGTCTCTAGCCACTCTGTCGCACCATCTCTCGGACCCCAACCAGGGAGTCATGAGAGACCAACACAGGCCAGCCCTTTGCAGCTTTCCTTCATGCCACGACACCATGTCATGCACTGACCACCTCTACGCTTCTTCCAACCAGTCCCAGAGTCGGCAAATAATGCACGATGAGGAATTCTCTGGGACGACATTCGTAGAACATATCAAAGCCACCGAAGTCGGTGTTTCAAGATGGTGACATCAATTGCATTATCGTCTCTGCAACCGAACACACGATGCCGAACCTCTGCATTACTAACATGGTGTTGCCACTGGATATCAGCAATCCTTCGGAGACAACGATGATCAAACACAGAGAGTCGTCTAACATCCTCAAATAGGAGAGGCCAGGTTTCACAAGCATAGAGCAAAACTGCTCTCACCGACGTGTTGTAGATACGACCTTTTACAGCCAGAATAACGTCACGAAGGAGCCAAAGATGGTCCAGATTGGCATAAGCCGCTCTGGCTTTCACTATGCATGCATTGATCTCATCACTCACGCCACAACCAGCACTTATGCAGCTACCTAGATACACGAACTTCTCGACTACTTCTATCTGCTCACCATCCAGGGTGAGTACAGGATTAGAATCCTGTCAGTTTTGTAGAAGTACTTTGCACTTCGAAGGTGCAAAGCACATACCATAACTACAGACACTGATTGCCAACTGATTAAGTGCGGATTGCATGCCTTGGGCATTATCACACAGTAAGACAATATCATTCGCATACTCAAGATTGAGAAGTCTTTCTCCAGGCAACAGATCCACACCGCCATTTCTTAGATATTTGAGTAGTTGGGTAGTATAATTATTTTTCAAACACACACAAGTATATCTAAAAGACCAGTGTATAACATTATATTTAATGCAAAACTAAATAAGCGAAAAGAAATTCGTTCAAATTATTAATTTAAGAAAAACGTATCAATGTTTAAAAAAGTAGACAGACAAAAATATCTTCTTCATTTTACTACTACATATCAAGATCAAAAAAATTATCAGACAGTATATTGAGGAAAAGAAAACTGTAGTAATAAAAGCTATTTCGGTTATTCAAAAAAATACTTATCTTGAATCAACTAGTCTATTTATCATCACTATGTAAATTGATTTAATCTATTTAACAAATAATTGAATGGCGTCTACCATACTTATATTACTATTAATATTACATATTATATATATATATATATATATATATATATATATATATATATATAATAGTGTTATTATTAATAGTAATATAAGTATGGTAGACGCCATTCAATTATTTGTTAAATAGATTAAATCAATTTACATAGTGATGATAAATAGACTAGTTGATTCAAGATAAGTATTTTTTTGAATAACCGAAATAGCTTTTATTACTACAGTTTTCTTTTCCTCAATATACTGTCTGATAATTTTTTTGATCTTGATATGTAGTAGTAAAATGAAGAAGATATTTTTGTCTGTCTACTTTTTTAAACATTGATACGTTGATCTTAAATTAATAATTTGAACGAATTTCTTTTCGCTTATTTAGTTTTGCATTAAATATAATGTTATACACTGGTCTTTTAGATATACTTGTGTGTGTTTGAAAAATAATTATACTACCCAACTACTCAAATATCTAAGAAATGGCGGTGTGGATCTGTTGCCTGGAGAAAGACTTCTCAATCTTGAGTATGCGAATGATATTGTCTTACTGTGTGATAATGCCCAAGGCATGCAATCCGCACTTAATCAGTTGGCAATCAGTGTCTGTAGGTATGGTATGTGCTTTGCACCTTCGAAGTGCAAAGTACTTCTACAAAACTGACAGGATTCTAATCCTGTACTCACCCTGGATGGTGAGCAGATAGAAGTAGTCGAGAAGTTCGTGTATCTAGGTAGCTGCATAAGTGCTGGTTGTGGCGTGAGTGATGAGATCAATGCATGCATAGTGAAAGCCAGAGCGGCTTATGCCAATCTGGACCATCTTTGGCTCCTTCGTGACGTTATTCTGGCTGTAAAAGGTCGGATCTACAACACGTCGGTGAGAGCAGTTTTGCTCTATGCTTGTGAAACCTGGCCTCTCCTATTTGAGGATGTTAGACGACTCTCTGTGTTTGATCATCGTTGTCTCCGAAGGATTGCTGATATCCAGTGGCAACACCATGTTAGTAATGCAGAGGTTCGGCATCGTGTGTTCGGGTGCAGAGACGATAATGCAATTGATGTCACCATCTTGAAACACCGACTTCGGTGGCTTTGATATGTTCTACGAATGTCGTCCCAGAGAATTCCTCATCGTGCATTATTTGCCGACTCTGGGACTGGTTGGAAGAAGCGTAGAGGTGGTCAGTGCATGACATGGTGTCGTGGCATGAAGGAAAGCTGCAAAGGGCTGGCCTGTGTTGGTCTCTCATGACTCCCTGGTTGGGGTCCGAGAGATGGTGCGACAGAGTGGCTAGAGACGTTATCAGATATGGCTCAGAATAGAAGCCAGTGGCGATCCTGCTGTAACCTTGTTTTACTTTCTTCAGAAAAAGTGACCATAACTTTGACTGAAAGAATTCTTTCTGGTTGTATTTTTCAGTTTCCTCCATTATTATTTCCCTACCATACACTAATTTGTGGTCGTTATTGCTCTCTTTTTCTTTTTGCACGAACCTTACATTCTTTATCTCTTACCGTTCTCATTGTTATTGTGTGGCGCATATGTATCTGGTGCCTCCATGTACCAATATTTATGTGTTCAACTAAAATAATAAATAAATAACTCAAACATCGAAGTAGGTTGTAACCTGCAATTCAGTAATGAAATGTTGTGTATTATAACTGCTAAGTTGTCAAACGTGACGATCATTTAATACTTCCTGAATGCCTGTACTGTAAAATACTTTTTTAAACCTAGAGTGTATATTGAAGGTTCGAGTCTTTGGAATGTGACCACGAAGGCTTCGGATATTTTTCCGAGAAATTCACACACAATTGAATTTACTACTTTCCATCTTAGTTTTTCGATTTACCTGTTAGATAGGATAGAATCTTGGGAAATAATTTTTTAAACCAATCTAGCTGTATTGTTTTGGAATGATACGATAGGTTAGTCTGACTACATGTGAGGTAGAAGTTATGAACAACAACACTAAGTCCTCTCTAACCGTTTGGTCAAGTAGTGTTGTTAAACAAGTCTACACAGCTGACGCGTTTAAAATAAGACGAAACGCGTGTCCTTGATTCCACTGCTAGCTACATTCCATCTATTCCATACAAGAGTTTTGGTTTCGTAATCTATAATTATTATTGTTATTATTATTCGAAGGTTCTTGTCCAACCATCACAAAGATTGGATTTTTTGAAAGAGGCTACAATCATGATGCAATTATCTCATCCACATATTGTAACGATTTATGGTGTATGTGAGAATAAACGCTTAATGATGATATTAGAATTAGCTGAACTTGGCAGTTTATTAGATTATCTATTAGATTATCCGGAAAAATGTCAATTACCTGAATTGTACAATTGGAGTATGCAAGTAAGTTCATTTTTATCTATTTCCTTTTTTGTATCTATTTAGTTAGTGTTGAAAGAAAAGTTTGTTCATCTTGATAGACTACTTATTATGTGTTTCTTGGTCAGCAAAAGAGTTTCTTTTTTGTATCGATACACAGCTCATAGGATTTCCATATACAGTAAAACAAAGTCAAACATATAGTTTACAATTTTGAAATGTTAACTGATCTATTGAGATTCACGCCACCCATCTTTTTAGTGGTAACATGTTAAGCTATAAAGGTGACCGGTGTGGATTCGTCCCCTCAAGTTTACAGGTGCTCTTTATTAATGAATGTCAACTAACACAATACCTAGATCCATCATTTCCTGCCAACTAACTTCAATCACATCTACATCTCAACATATTCTAGGCAATATCGTAATCCTTTGTTGGTTATCTGAAGAAGACATGACTTCAAATCAGTAGGAATAGCGCAGATGTATTGAGTACTTATCATCCTCTATATTATGAGTTGTAATTATATTACATACCTTTTGTTTCGTGATTTCACTTGTTCATCTTGAATAGACTTTCCATTATTATTAATAGTATTATTTTGTCTTACTATTCATCTCTGTGATTTCATCTCTCATCGTCCTGATGTGAATCGTGGAAAATTGTATCGTTTTACACTTGGTTCTAAGTATTACTCTGTTTATTGATTCATCAACCCGAATAATCTGAACCTGATCGGCCATTTACCGTCTGATGACAAGAACTGTCGTAAAATTTTTCGAATGGCGTTTAGTCAGTCTTTTTGTCGGTCATAATCATGGCAAGAATCTGACCCGAATGTATATCGGTTCAAGTTACCATACCACACTCAGCACAGTAAAATTATGAATATGGATACCAAGTAGTGGTACAAGTCATAGCAAATAAGGATTAGGCAGAGATACAGGGAGGGTAATAATAAAAAGATAATTTTGAAACTCAGAATTAAAGGAAGATAAAAAGACAGAATGCATCTACACTATTGTAGCTGATTCTGATCCACTTGACTATTCATACTTCTCTAACTTCAAATTTCACAATACCTTTCATCGAATGAAGTATTCAGAAACGATTCCAACTCACAATTTTACTAGTATCAGTCTTAAGCTGAAATAAACTATTTGTTGTATATGATCTGGTGTTAATATCGGTCAAATTTTTACTATCCTCACTTGTGGTTGTTACAAATGTTAATTAATGATGTAATGTCTTTTCTTATCATATTGAAAAATACAATCCTAGATTGCAAATGGTATGAGCTTTCTAGAATCAGCTAGATTTGTTCATCGAGATTTGGCTTGTCGTAATGTCCTATTATCAAATCATTCTTGTGCAAAAATTTCTGATTTTGGTCTGTCACGTGCAGTTGGCGTTGAATCCGATTACTACAAAGCTACACAACGTGGTAAATGGCCAGTGAAATGGTATGCACCAGAATCAATTTATTACAAAACATTCAGTCATGCTAGTGATGTCTGGTCGTTTGGTATATGCTTATGGGAAATGTTCTCATTAGGTGAACATCCATATGCAGATCAAGATAGCTTTGAAGTTTTACGTCAAATTGAGGAAGGTGTACGTCTGCCTAAGCCCCATTTAGCTAATGATGACGTTTTTGCTATTATGCATGATTGTTGGGCGTATAATCCAGATGCACGACCAACATTTGCTCAACTTCTCGCTGTATTTCAACATCTTGCTACTAATGTTTACGAAAATGTTGAGCCACCGGAAGTGGTGGTCCCAGGCAATGCAAATCCATCATGTAAAGTTGTTAAAAATGGTATAGCGTGTCATAATAATACTAAAAATAACAATATATGTTCATCCACTACTGGTCCTCATCCTTCTGTTGTCACTACTACCATGGCAACTGGTACTACTAACCACAATGATAATCAACACATCAGTGGCAATGATCGACGTCAAACAAACTGTACTAATGTACGTATTCCAAATCTTGTCCAAACTAACGGTTCATCATAATAGAACAAATATAAAAGAAGGTGGCAGGATAGAATGATTAGTAAAACAAATAGAATGAAAACATTTTTAAAAAAACTTCTCTAGTCTAAATATGCTTTCTCTTTTTACTTTTTGGATAAGTTTTCCATTTTATTTTTGCTTTTATCAAGTGAATAGTTTTGTGTGTGTGTATGAAGTAATCTCTGTCGTTCCATTTCTATTCTATTCATGTATGCATTTTTATTTGATTCATCAACCAATAATCATAATAATAATATCTACCTCTTTTGATGATGACAAGTATTCAACAACTTTTATTGGTTGTATCTCCAAGACATTATACTGTGCCGTTGATGATGATTTTGATTGAAATCACTATTTAAAAAGAAAAAAAATGAAGAACAATCGATAATAATAATAATAATTTCTCTCTTTATGTTTTAATTTCTTTTTTAAGTTTAGCATTTAATTCAATTCATTGTTTCACTGTTCTTTTTTTGTGTGTGATATTCTCTTGTTTCTTCTCTTTTTCTTTTCTGTCTCTACAACGGTATTGTTGTCCTTTTTGAAATCATGTTATCGTATTATATCGATTTCTAAATTATTATTATTATTATTATTATTATTATTATTATTAATGTTATGATTTCGACCAGTTAATCATTGTACATAGATACGCATTTCGTGATATTCAATGTAGTCCTGTCTATCTACTTCTATTTCTGGTGTCTAATATACTTTTTATGATATATAATATTTTATTTGTATTCTTTGTATATTATTCTGATTATTCCTTAACAGTTTCTTTCTTTTCTTTTTCTTCAATCAATAAGATTATGTTATTCAAATGTTTACACATCACATTCAACTTTATCATGATTCCTTTTTAATATACGTGACCAGTCGCTCATTCATTCACTCACTCGCTTACTCACTGATTCATTTCATTTCCTTAGAAAATGTCATATGTTGTAAAATTTTCATTATTTTTAAAATGTGTTGATAGTTTGGACATTTGTTGTCATCATTTTCTTTTTTTGAATGATTGTTTCTTTCCTATGATCTCTAATGGTATTTATTGTTAATTATCAATACTAACTTATTACCATATTTTCGTAGAATTTAATAATTATAATTAGTAATAAAATAGAAACTGTCTTATTATGTAATACCTGTTATATGAAAATATTAGATCTGGTTCAAATGATAAGCATTAAAAAAAAACAACACTTAGTTCATGCTTTTTGTTTTGTTCCTATTTTGCATTGTATTTAAATATTCATCCCTATTTGTTTATCTTTATTCTTTGGCATATATGTTTTTCATACTTTTATTATTTTTGGTATCATACAAACCATGGTTTCATTAAATTGAAACTATTATCTAATTATTTATTATATATTCTTCATTTGTGTATTGATTTCAATCGATAATGAAATCTATACAAGCGTTTAGCGTTTTTTTAGTGAGTTAGTTTTCTACGGGATGGGGACGCTAACCCCATGCCCAACCCCCACTCCTTTATCCGGGCTTAGGACTGGCAGTAGCCTCCGGAGGGACTTCAGGCGGAGTTGAAATCTATACAAAGGAGAGAAAAAATCTCTCAATAAAATGAAGTTACAAGGCATGTTTGTTTGTTGTTTTCTTTGTAGTTTGATATATACACTTTAACTAATAGTAACACTTCAATTATTATTTTTTTTCCTTTTTGACGGTGTTCTATCATCAACTATTTCCAATGTTTGTTTGTTTATATGGTTTACTACTTTCTATGAGATCCATTGAATGTTTACTTATTGCAACAACATATATGACTAATTATCTTTTAAAATTCATTGTACACAAACATATATATATTATTGAGTTGCATATTTCATATGTTATTATTGAATAGGGTTAATAACTTTTAATGATAATAACTCTTATGAACTTGTCTGTCATAAAGCAATTATTATTAAATAGTAACCTTGTTTGTAATTGGTAATCTTTGTAAACTTTAATAATAGTGATAAATAATAAAAAATTGAAATATTAATAAATTCATCATGTCAAATAATTGTTCATTTCAATTTATGACTTTAAAATGATTATCTCTAAACAATTTTAATGATAGATTAACTAATTCTATCGTCATGATACAGAGCCCCCAAATGCCCTGGTATGGCCGAGTGTGGGGTGGGACCGCCCTCCTTCTCGGAATGCTCTTACACGGCCACGCGTATACAGCCTCTGCCAGGGAAGTCCTACTCACTGCCTTCTCATGGCAGGGGTGTTGTTTACGAAATTGAGAGAACGAAAAGTGAATGTCCGGCGCTTTAACCGGATCCCAAACCAATGGTACACATGGGCTCCAGTATCCTGAAGGAACAAATGGCGAATGAACCAATCGTTAGTCACCGGCTACCATGGGACTGCATTTCCTCACGATGCTCCACTGCCTTGTGGATCAGACCTTTAGGTGAAAGGCTCTGGGTATGGCCCCCTAAGATAACCACCTGCTTCGGTTTGGGCACCCAGGCAGTATCCCAGCCCTCACAAATCGAATGATTCATGTGGTGCATATGTATTTGGTGCCTCCTTGTACCAATGTTTATGTGTTTAAATAAATAAATAACTCATGATACAGAAACATTTCGAGTAATTATAAATGACGATAATATAGTGACCTAGTCTCCCATTCTATATGCTGAATAAGAAGAAGTGGTGTGTGATAGTGGAAAAATATGATATGATGGAACACTGAGGATAGACGGATAGATAGACACTCAGCTTACTGACTACTTAATATGTGATTTCCTTCTTGCTATTGATTTCGGCTCTGAACTCAACGATTGTAGACGGTTTATGATTGTGTTGAATAAAAGTATTGTTTAACGCTGTCTAGCTTATACTCTGGGTTTCTGTTTGGTCGTGAATTATGCATCTCATAGAACATGATCCACTAGTTTGTGTGTAGCGTATCGATAATGGCAGTATATTTGTGTACACAGAAAAATACTTTTATTTCCCTGCTATATCAGTAAGAGAAATGATATACATCATTTGGTGTAAGTACGCTTGTAGGTTAATTTTTTTGCGAGATGTAATTAGCGTTGGAAATTATTTTCTACTCGGAAATTACTTCAAATACGCTCAGTCAAAATTTGTTGCAAAAAGATGGATTGAATTAAAATAGCTCACAAGTGGAAAATGTTTGGGATATGGAAACCAATAGTGGGTCAGTTAAGGAGTTGGGTTTTAGAAACTTCACTTTGAATTACTCCGTTAGTGCTAGCGATATCACGACTTTCCAAACTGAAGGTGTTGAATTCGAGGTTTGTGACCTAATTGATACGTTGGGCCAATCAGAAATCGATCAAGTGATTAGTGTACGAGATTGGTCAGAAAAAGTTTGCATTCCTAAGATACAAACCATTGCTGGTTTTATTCCTTAAGGGATAGACATATGTACATAAATTCCCGATTCAGTTTAGTCAACAAACTATCATCTCGCTCATTCCTTATACTAGTGACTGGTTAGGCCTGCGTATCAAAATCGGATATCGAACAACCCGACACTAGTAGTGACTTTCAGTCGATTTTGATGAGTAATTATTCACAACCAATATCTTGAAGAGTTCTCATCCAGCTGAAGACAACATATGATGTACTAAGTATCCACAGGCTGTTATGAACTCCGCCAATACTTCGAGACGAAATTAATGAGAAGCAGGGGTCAGGAAAGAATAATAATTGCCAAGAAAAGCCAAACATGGGGACTGAATACGATCAAAGAATGAATAGCATAAAGTGGCACTAAAATCAAAACAACAATTTTCTATCCTACATCAGTTGTATTGAATACATTTGTATATCATGGTATGATTTTCGACGTAGGTGGAAAAAAACGCTAATCACTCGATTGCTAATGAATTTGAATCTATGAGAAATGTCACGTTCACTAAAAACAGTGAACCGAATATCACTTAATCGTATTCTCAAAATAATCAATGAAAAAAAAATACTTGCGTGACCTATTTATTGGCATGCAATTAGGTTCAAAGTTTATCGAACAATCAATGAATTTACGAATGGGTATGTCGGATAATTTTCAATCATTTATGACAATACTACAGAGTATGACCATATGAACCTAAAAAATAATTATAATACTAAAACATAGTGATCTAGATAGTGTAGAAAATATTACAAAGATAGAATAAAGTATTTTGTCTGTATGTTAAGTCATTAGAAACCTCTGGGTTATGAATTGTGGGAACACAGTTTTTGGAAAAGCACCAGATCAATCGGTGTAGCAGATACTTCTTGCCAGTCGGTTAGGTAACAAGAGACAAATAGACCTACATGTTTTATGCTACTACATGCAAAATTATTGATGATTATCATAGATGTAATTATAGCTTACAATGGTCTACCAACGCTCGAAACAGAATAGGAAAATGATACCCAACTGTATATCATTGATATGTACGTGAGATTTTCTTGTCTAGCTATAAAAGTTAGCAAATACTGCTATTTTAGTAAAATGAAGTGTGTACGTGAAACTATTAAATGGAGTTGTTAAAAGGCGAAAAGTTGCATTTGGCATCTATTGTAGGACTGCAACTAGAAAGAAGATAATTATCCTTCAACGACGTTTAAACCAATTACACAGGAGTAATCATTACCTATTCTAACTTAAATACACGACCCTTTGAGGTTGATTTAGATAAACCGATAGGTCATTTGCTAACATAAAATGTATATATTGCCTTGCTAATGAGTGATAACTGGCATGAAATCTAGTTCCAAGGATTATTGGCAATTATTTCTAACCACGTTATCATCTATATCAAGTCAGTTAAAAGAATGTTCATGTTTCATTTACATTAGCAACAAACAGATATGCGACTAATTAGAAATACATGATCAGCTAGAGTGACTATTTCATTTTCACAATAGTTTATGATCCGGGGACACTAATAATAACATCTCTGATACTGCCACTGATTAACTCCGATTCAAATTACATTGAGATCATTAATTCTATTTTTAAAAATTCTGAAACATTATGTTGACAAGTGACAACCAGAACTACAAAAAAATTATATCACTGGTTAAATCATGAGTCAATTGAAGCTAGACCACCATGGAAAACCTGGAAGTACTGGGCGGTCGTTTCGTCCTAGTATGGGACTCCTCAGCAGTGCGCATCCACGATCCCGCACCCCGCGAGACTCGAACCCAAGACCTATCAGTCTCACGCCAGGCGCCTAACCAACTAGACCACTGAGCCGGCATTTAAAGGTGTTAATGTCTAACTTCAACCAATTCACGAAGTTGCGCCACCGTACATCATTGTCTTCAGTGAGTTCCTATCTCACAACAGACCTGGTTGAACTCCACTGGTAACGACTTCTCACTAGAACTCCAGGAGTATCTCCTGAAGTCAGTCACTAGTGAGCAGGTGATTATTATTATTATCAGAATGGGTTTTGTGGAGATTTTTAGAAATTTCACTGGCTGAAAAAATAATAACCTACATCTAAAGTGTGTTACTAGTCACATTTACTAGTGTGAAAAAGCTATGCAAATAATCACAATTTCTGAGAACTTTTCCCCTTGGTAAACACTGTGCATGTTTCAATATCTGGTAATACAATAAATTTAACGGAATATTCAAAGAAATGTTTGATATTTATACATACAACAAGAACCATTAAAGAAAAGAAAACTGATTACAAAAAAGAAAAGTTAATTAGTCATAAAAAAAGTAAATTATTTTATTGTTTGTAAACAGTCAACAAGAAGAGAATGAATTCAACCGATTTTGTTGTATTCAGTATGAGATACAATGTAGAATTTTTCTTCTTCTTTTTCTTTTAAATTTGTCCACTATGTGTAACAGTAGCTAGTCTAGTGATACAACTTTGTATTTTCGAATATGCATATGTTGAATGACTGCGTTGATATAAATGAAAAAGATTAGCATATACTGCATGATCAAATGCAATACCATGTTCCATTAAACGATTCACAACTGCCTATTAGACAAACGAATAAAAGACACCAAAAAGAAAATACGATAAACAGGGAAACGTCAAAGTTAATAAAACGCATCATATACATATATATCCTAAATTTAACGCTTTTCGGCAATGTAATATATGGTTATTGAACGTAAAATATGATTGCCACTGAGTGTGAACAGACAGATTACTGACTATTTAATATGTGGTTTTCTTTCATTGATTTCGACTCTAAACTTAATGAGTGTAGATGATTTGTAATTGTGTTGAATAAAAGTAGTGTTGTCTAGTTTATCTTTGATTCTATATTTTTGGCTATGAATCGTGTAACTGGTAGAACATGATCCACCCAGTTTGTATGTAACATATTGTTCGAGTATTTACCCTAGTAGTAGCGTAAATTTCTATTCCGATCGTATCATTGTACAATAGTAGTTTGTCGTTATATCATGATGATGCCCAAATATTCAGCATTTCAAACTTTGTATATTATTGCGAAACAATCAATTCTGTGCAATTAACACCTGATTGCATTAGGAAAACTAAAGCAAAATAATAAAGAAAGGGTTTGCCTTAACTCTTTTATTTTGATCTCTTTAAGATAGATAATAAATGGGATAGTTTGCATAAATATTTGATTAATACAAAAATACTAATTGATGATTGCATTCATCGAAGCAATTCGATTAGATTTAATCATTCGGATGAGATAGCAACTAATTTATGGGAGTTCGACCATTAATTGAACTGATTTAAATATGAATATATTTATACCTAATAATGAATCCAATTTAATAATTGAATTCATGAGTCAATTGGAGCTGGACCACCAAGGAAAACCTGGAAGCATGGGACGGCCAACTCATCTTAGTATGGGACTCCTCAGCAGTGCGCATCCACGATGCCGTTCGTGGGATTCGAACGCAAGACGTAACAGGCTCGGGCGCGAACGCTTGAACTTAAGACTACTGAGCCGGCATCCAACAGTGTTAATGTCTAACTTCAACCAATCCGCGAAATTGCGCCACTGTCCAACATCGTC